CCCCCCCCCCCCCCCCAAGGTGGGTGTGTGGTGGTTTTGTCTTTTAAATTATTAAACTATTTCTCTCTCAACCCACAAGTTTTCTCACTTTCCCCTGCCTGTTCTCTTCCATCCTGCTGGTGGGGGGTGTGAGCAAGCAGTTGTGTGGTGCTCAGTGTCCAGCTGGGCTCAAATCATGAGAGGGTTAGTTGCCAGCCCTGCCTGGCTGATGCTTCAGGCTCTCCTTGTTCCTGCCACCATCCTGACAGGCCATCCTTGTTCTTCACCGCTGCTTTCTAGCACCTGTTGCTCCGTAAGCAGCAGCGCTCACGCTGTGCCCGCGGACCCGTCTGCTGACCACTGGGATGTAACTGCCGGAGAGAAAGCGAAACGGCCGCGGCACAATCTGCAGCCGTTGTGCCTCCGCAGGGACCCGCGGGCCCCTTTCTCCCGCCCTTTCCTCTGCTCATCTGGGCTGGGCAAGTACGGTTGTTGCAGAGGCTGCTACACACACTGGGGTTCTTTCTTCGGCTGTTGGCTTTGCCCTGTGTCTGGGCTGCCGAGGCCATCGACTGTGCGTGGGACACGGGCAGCCTGGAGAGCTTTAGCCCGAGTCCTTCCGTTCCCCCGTGGGCAGCAGCGGTTCTGGCGCTGCTACAGTAGGCAGCCGCTGTCGACGGCCGCAGGCTGCTGCATGCTCCAGCCGGAGGAAGAGGCGGTTCTCTGGGCCCCGGTGCAGGGCAAGGGAGAGACGTTCTGCGCTGCCGCTGGCTCTTCCCGAGGGAACTGTGCTCCGGTTTCAGCAGGAAAAGGTGTCGGTCCCAGGCAGCCGCGTGTCGCTGTGCACAGGTATTTGGCCGATGTCTTGCTTGTTGGAGAAAAGGCGTATTTCTTGCCTTGCGGTCCTCCTGGCAGGTCAGAGGGTGGAGTGAGAAAAGCCTTTTGCCACCACACCAAGATGAGAGCTGGATTTCCACCAGCACTGTGTGTCAGCTGTGTTGGTAGCTGAGCAGGGCTGGCAGGGCAGGAGATAGAGGGGTCCCAAGTGAAGAAAGGGAGGGTTGGAGCGTGTGTTTTAAGGAGGTGAAGGAGGCAGCCGAAGGCACTGAGCTGCTCGCCTGAGGCAGGGGCAGAACAGCCCCTCCAGCCCCCCAGGAATCGCGTGTTGGGAGCAGCAAGGCGCTGGCTGGCAGGAGCGCGGGGCTCCGCGGCTGCCCGGAGCAAGACGGAGCCTCGCGGGCTCTGCGGTCACCGGCCGAGGACGTCTCCGAGCCCAAGGGGCCGCGCTGCTCTCCCGGCTGGCTGCGGGCTGGGGAGGAACTCTTACGGAGGGGACGGGCCCTGCCCCGGAGCCTCGTGCCGGGTGCAGGGCGAGGGGAGCGGAGCGCTGGCAGCACAGAGGGGAGGGAAGGTGCGAGCAGCGCGGCGGAGCGCGCGGGTCACCGGCGGGTCATCGCTGAGGTGCAGCTCCGCCGCGGCTCTGCTCGGCCGTGCTGGTTCCTGCTGCCCGCGGCTGCCCCTCGGGCACGAAGCAGCTTTCCGTCCGTGCCCTCCTGCCCTCAGCAGCCGCCCGGGCTGCCGGCGGCGTGAAAACTCTCTCTGCTGCCTCGGTCGCTTCTGCTCCCGGGAGATGCTCGGAGGGGCGAGACGGGGCGACGGTGCCGCCCGGCGGCCAAAGGTCGGTACTGCAGCTCGGGCCGGGCTGGCGTTTTCCGTGCGCCGTGCTGCCACCCGGTGACCGAAGTGCGGTACCACACCCCGGAGGCCGTGACCGGGTTCGTGCTGTCTGCTGCCAGCCGGTGGTTAATGTCGGGCATTGCACCCCGGAATCCACGCATGTGCTCTCGTGCTCTTGTGTTCGTGCTCTCCGCTGCCACCGGGTGACGCAAATCGGGTCCCGCAGCCAGGAACCCGCGCTGACGTCCTGATTTAGTGCTCTCTGCTGCCACCGGGTGACCAAAGCGGGGTACTGCAGCCCGGAGATCGCGCGTGCGCAGTGGCTGCCCGTTTCCGTGCTCTCTGCTGCCATCATTTGACCGAAACTAGGTACTGTAGCACAGAGAGGGCGCATGCGCAGTGGCGCGCGTGTTTTAGTGCTCTCGGCTGCCACCAGGTGACTAAAATCGGGTACCGCAGGCAGGATTTAGCGCATGCGCAATGGCGCGCGCTTTGTAGTGCTCTTTCCTGCCACCAGGTGACCAAAATCGGGTATTGCAGTCAGGATTTGGCGCATGCGCAGTGGCGCGCATGTTTTAGTGCTCTCTACTGCAGCACAGAGCTGGCGCATGCGCAGTGGCGCGCCAGCTTTACTGCTCTCTACTGCCTCCAGGTGACCACGACTGGTACTGCAGCACGGATTTTGCGCATGCGCAGCGGCGCGCCTGTTTCCGCGCTGAGCCACCCGTTGAACGTTGTAATGCAGACCGCAGACATAGCGCATGCGCAGGAGCGCGACCTAGTTTGGAGCTCAGTGCTGCCACATTTTGACTAAAATCGGGTATTACAGACCGGAGCTGGCCTCATGCGTTGTGGCGCGATGTTTTTACTGCTCTCTCCTGCCACCTAGTGAATGAAATCGGGTACTGCAGCCAGGAGTTGGCGCATGCGTATTGACGCGCCTGTTTTAGTGCTCTCTGCTGCCACCCTGTGAAGAAAACGCGGTACTGCATCTCGGAGTTGGCTCATACGCAGTGGCGCGTCATCGTTTAGAGCTCTCTGCTGCCACCGTGTGAAGAAAGCCCGGTACTGCAGCCCGACGATTGCGCATGCGCTCTTTTTTTTAAAAAAAACAAACGTGCTCTCTGCTGCCACCATATGGCCAAAA